GCGGCAACTTCATTCTTTTGCTTCAGGAAGTACACCCAAGTCATCCGTGTGAGGTCATTAATAAACAACACAAAATACCTGCTTCCACTCAAGGATTCAGCTTGCATAGGGCTGCATACATCAGTGTGGATCAGTTGGAGTTTTCGGTTGCTCTCCAGACCTAATCCGTAGGAAAAAATGGCCTGTTAAGCTTACCAAGTTGGCGAGCACTGCAAAGACTCTTCTTCTCTTCAATCTCAGGCAGGTCCTAAACCATATTTTTGCTCCTAAGTTCTTTGAAGCCATTATAACGAAAGTGGCCAAACCTTTTATGCCAAAGTTCTGATTCTTCCAGCCTAGATGTTAATGCTAAATCATTAGGTTTCTTCCACTCAATCGGGAAGCCTTTTCCCATCATTTTCACACTTATCAATTCATTTCCCTCACCATCTAATATAACACAAGACTAATTTTGAAAATGTAAAGAATAACCCTTCTCTAACATTTGTCCAACACTTAACAAGTTTTTACTAATTTCAGGTACATACAAGACATTAGGGATGATTTTAGTACCTGATTGTGTTTGGACAACAACATCTCCTATGCCTTTGTCCAGCTTGATGAATTTTTGCAGGTCTACAACCAAGTGGTTGGTGCAACCACTGTCAATTAGCCAAGTTTCATTGCTAATTTGTGATGCATAACAAGAGGCCACAAAGAGCTGTTCAACCTCTTAACTTTGCGGTTGATCTTCTCTAACTTGTGCCTGTTGTGGTGGCTAACTTCCCTTGTTCTTGCAGACATTTTCTATGTGCCTAAACTACTTGCAACCTTTGCATTGTATCCCTGGCCTGAACCAGCACCTCTTCTCAGAATGCCCTTTCTTTTTGCAGTGAGAGCAAGGTGGATACTCCTTCATCTCACCTGGTTTTTCCCACTGACCATTACTCATTTCTTTCCCCTTTTTATCTGCAGCATATCTCCTATTATGTCTTTGTGCAGGCTTGCCTTTGTGATTTGCCATCATTGCAACCTCACTTGTGTCTTCTTGCCTCAAGAGTCTTCTTTGCTCTTGAGCTTGCAAGACATGGACTAACTCAGTAAGTGTAATCTTAGACACGTCCTTTGAGTCCTCAAGAAAAGAAATTTTGGACTCAAACATTTCGAGCAAGCTTACCAAAACCTTCTCCACAACTATCTTATCTGTTAGCTCCATTCCAAGCAACCTTATTTTGTTGACTATACTCATTAGCCTATCAACACACTCCTTCACTTTCTCTGATTCTTTCATCTTTAACATCTCAAACTCCCTTCTTAAGTTCAGCACCTGCATATTCTTTGTTGTGTCACTTCCCACAAATTCCTCTCTCAACTTGTCCCACCCCTCCTTTGGAGTTTTATATGCCATTATCCTTGTGAATACAAAGTATGTTACAGTAGCATGAATATGGGACAAGGCTCTTGGAGCCTTAGCAGCTTCTTCTTCAAAGATTCTAATCTGATTCAGAGTTGGATTTGGTCCCAACTGTGATGGCTACCTATTCTCTTCTACATACTGCCACAAGCCTTGACCCTGGAGGAACGCCTTCATTTTTACAGCCCATATGTGATAGTGTTCACCATTAAAAACTGGCAGTGACATCAAGGCTGATTGAGCAGCCATCGGTTTAAGTAAATGGTCTGAAACAAGGGAGTTCTTGGAGGTAAAATGGAGTTCTTGGAGACAAAGTAAAGGGCTGATTGTGTGAGGAAGAGTTTTTCAGGTTTTTAAGCTGGCTCTGATACCATTTGAAGGTGTTTTGGTTGGAGTATTCTAAGGAAAAGAAAGGGAGAAACTGAAATAGAGAGAAGGTTCATCCTAACATTGCATTAAGCTTTGACTTTATACAACAAGATAGCCCAAAATATCCACTGTTACAACAACTTCTGCAAGGATATTTTACATATTTGAATTTGAACTTAAACATCCAACTAATACATACACAAAGCCTTTCAATTACAAGTCTTAATCACACCTAAACATATCAGCAAAACATACCAAATTCTGCAGCTCCAACACGTCGGCCTCACTGTAGAAACAAAGATCAATTGGCGCCGAAAACCTTTCAAACTCCTAACTGAAATTTTGATACATTTCCAGCAAAATATCACTGCATCAACATCTGTGTATCCAAATTCTATTTTACAACCCCCTTTTTTTTTTGTGGTTATACCAATTGTTGTCCGTGATTATCAATTTAGAAACTGACACTGGTTTCATTATTGATTAGGCCCCATCCATTTGAATGTTCGGGGAGTGATCTTGATGGAGACAATTATTTTGTATGTTGGGATCCTGATCTCATTCCTCCACAGCAGTTTCCACCCATGGATTATAATCCAGGACTAGCTAAGGTTTTGCGTCGTGATTTTACGATTGAGGTATTGCTCAATCTTTTAGCATCATGCATGTTAAGATTTATTTAGTCAACATTCTTGAATCAACTCTTACTTCTAGTTGTTCTATGTGATTTTAATTTCCACAGGCACACTACAATTAGATAGGCATCACAACAATAAATCCTATTAATTTAAAGTGTTCTGTAATACCATGAACTAGTATATAATTTAGCTAAATCTGCTATTGCTACATGTGTAGCTCAATAGCTTCAGAGAGTCTATGATTGGTAATTAGGATCCTGCTAATAAACATTTCATGAGATTGACCTTGAATTCTATTTCAGTATGCATCAGATTAGAGCTTTAATACAACTGGTGTTTGATCAATGCTGTAATCTGTTGTGGTCTTTTCCTTTGCCTTAACATATATATTGTTATGTTGTAGGATGTTGAGGAGTACTTCGTTGACTTTATTGTCAATGACACGTTGGGCAGACTCAGTAATGCCCATGTTGCGTTCGCAGATAAAGAACAAATGAAGGCAAGGAGTAAGCAATGTCTTCAGCTCGCCCGGCTATCCTCTATTGCTGTGGATTTTCTGAAAACAGGTGTGGCAGCAGAAATACCAGATGAACTACGGGTCAAGAAATTTCCAGACTTCATGGATAAGCCTGACCATATGACCTATCAATCAGAGCGTGTGATGGGAAGGCTGTATCGAGAGGTAAAAGGCATTGCACCACCTACAGCAGCAATCAAGTCCTTCACTAAGGAAGTAGCAATGACGTCTTTTGATTATGATATGTTAGTAGATGGTTTCAAGAAATATGTCAGTGAAGCTCTCTACTACAAATGCGAGTATGATAGTAGGTTGAGTAACCTGATGAAGCATTACGGAATCAAAACTGAGGCTGAAATAGTCAGTTGATACATCATTAAAATGGCAAAATGTTTTGATAAGAGAAGAGATCTGGATGCAATTACTTTTGCCACAAGGTCCATAAGAAAGGAAGCCAGGGCCTGGTTCAACAAGGCAAGTGAGTCAGGTTCTAGTAATTCTGATGCTAAAGATGTATATGCAAAGGCTTCAGCATGGTATTATGTCGCATACCATCATAGTTATTGGGGTCATTGCATCGAAGAAGGAATTACGCCTGAACATTTCCTCAGCTTTCCATGGTGTATTCACGACACTCTCATTGAAATCAAGAAGAAAAAGAAAAATGAGCGACTAAAAGCAAGTGATGGACATTATTTTTCATCGCTAGTGAACCATTTTAGTAATGACTTGCGCTTTTAGTTGGTGAAGCGATTTGAATGGTGTTCAGCACCTGGCTATCTGCATTCTGCATATGATGCTTGTTCCTATATAATTAAGCTGCTTGTGTAATAACAACTGTAGTTCCTTTACTCTATGGTGGAAGTGTATTGTTGTAATATACTCCCTCTGTTTCATATTAAGTGACGTTTTAAGACCTTGCACAATTTTTAAAGAAACAAATTTCTCTCTCTTCATATGACTCTTTCACTGAAATTACAATGGGAAAATTTTGATTCTCCTACTACTCTTCACCTGCATTTGAAAAAGAAAGAGAGAGAGGAGATAAGAGGCAGAGATGGAGAAAGAGAGAAAGAGGAGATGAGGGTAGAGAAAAAGTGGAATATAGAGAACAGGAGAATTCATCAAGAAAGAGAGAGAGGATAGAATGGTCAAACGATTTTTATTTTGGCAAAAAATACTTTTATAAAACGTCTATTAATATGAAATGGAGGGAATATGTATGGAGGGAGTATGTATATTTTCAAAGTGTGTTGTGATCACTGATCAGTACTGGAAACTTGTATTAAGTTCATGTAATAAATAAATGACCGATTTGTTGTGTGATCTCTTAGATTTGGTTTTTTGTTTTTAATCATATTTGTTTAAAAAATTAAATTCCAAATTGATTATGAAATGAAGGAGGATGGCTTTGAAGACAAGAAGTTGGAAAACCTGTGATGAAATAGAAACAATTTCTAATTACTAATTCAAACATTTTTAATTATAAAAATTAATATCTAAAGCTTTTCTTATATCTAAGAATTAATTATTTCCTCTCATTGATTCCTATCGTCAATTTGTATCAATAAACTAATGCCTACTGTAATAAAAGACTATGGAGACTGTCACACTGGATCAGCCCCAGTCAACAAAGGAAAGTCTTCGAAGAATTATAGGCTGCGTTTGTTTCACATTTGGGAATACTACTTTTAGTATTCCCAAAAAAGTTAAATAGTAAGATACCCAAAATTTTAGATTTTTGGGAATATTACTCCCAAAATTATTCAACTTTTTTTAAACCCTTTAAATTTGATAATTTAATTAAATACCCCTAAATATTTTTTTTAAACTATAAAAACACCCTAATAATCCAAATTTACCAGATTCTGGCCACCACCACCGAAAAATGATCAAAATCTGATAGAATGATATACTAAATCTGATCAACAATGCCCCGATATAGCCTTTTTGGTCAGATCCAAAAAGGCCTGATCTAAGGCCAAAGAAGCTTTGGTGTTAAAAAGAAAACTTAGCTGGCCCCAATTACATCATGTCCATGTCAAATCTTATGTTACTGTGAAAGCCAATAGTATCTCTCCCTTCTTTGACTCTTTGTTTATGTGTTTGATCAGCTAACGAATGTATCTCTGCTCAGTCTTGTACTGTGAGTCTCTTCATTAACTCCTTTGTTTATATGTTGTGTCATACTTAGAATTTGGGAGAATTCGTTAATGTTGGGAAGGGTTTTTGTAGATATTCTTGATTATTAACCGGTTGTGTCAGCTAGCTAAATGTGCAACTGAAACTGAGAAGAAAATCTACTACTGAACGACAAGGTTTTGTGTGTTTGTTATCATTTCATTTCATGAAAAAACTGAATAATAATGGCTATTATAACATGGCTTTCTTCTTATTTAAGATAATCTTTGTAAACTAGCAGGAGCTGACTCCATTTCTTGAGTAACCATGGTTCCATGTTGAAGTTTTTTCACTTTATTAAACTGGGCTTTCATCTGTTTTACTTGCTAACATCTTCATTGCTTTCACCAGTTGCATTGCAATGTGTTTACTTACATAATGCAATTGATTTGAGTTTCTAGCTTAGTACTGCAGACAAAATGGAGAAGACAATCAGGTTTTTGGATTTCGCGGTTGTCAATGTCCGGCAGCCATAAAGGAGTTTCAAGAGGGACGTTCAGGTGAAGGAACTGTTTATTATGTGCAGCTTGCCACAAACAAAAAATCAGGGAGTATTTGCTAAACTTGAATTCACCACCATGGAAGCTGCGAAAGTTATCAAGACCTTAGCTGATGAAGAACGTCTATTCTATGACGATTCTTATCTGAAAAGTCATAAAGATAAAGGCCAACCATCTGCAAAATCTGATGTGAAAGGTTGTGATTCTGTACCAAAGACAACAAAATTAAAGAAGCGAACAAAGAAAGGGAGATCTAAGCACATGAACGGAACATTAAACTTTGGATGCCATATTTCAAAGGGAAAGTTCTCTGTGCTCTTAACACAAGAAACCGTTTCTGTGAAATTTTTGGATAGCGGAAATATCCTCTTCTATCTATTTTATCAGTCCGTGAACTATAGACTTAATGTTTCCCATGAGAGCATTTCGCAGATTGAGCTATACTGTCCACGTGGTCAAACTTCCAAGTTCCTTGTCATTCAGGTTTGCCTTTTAAATCTTAATATCGTAAACCCAATTTATATGCAAATGATTAAAAAGTAGGAAGAAGTCACAAATCTGCTAGTTAATTTCTTACAAAGGATAGGGGTTTACTAGTTTTGTTAAATGCTTGAATTCTGCAAGCTATCGACCATTAAAATGTGGCTATCTTTTTCATAACTATGGCTCCATTATTCTGAACTAAATTGTGGTGTGAAACTTATTTTCTTTGCTTAAAAATAGAATTTTTAACGATTTTCATTCTTTCATTCTTTTGCTAGTTACTCCATGGTCCTCAGATTTATGGCAAACATGGCAGATGGGTAAGGGAAGTTGATTTTACTCCATCCTCTTGCATTGGGCAGTCTTCGGCTTTATGTTTGGAACTTCAATGGGGGGCTCGTGTTTCAGATATTAGTAGAGCGTTTCCTTCTTATAAAAGACGAGGAGAGCTATTCGTTCTAGAGCCAGGTTCAACTTTCTCTTCCAACTCTGATTTTGCTCCAATCATTAGTCCACCCCAAGGCTTTGACATGCCATTCAAGATCTTGTTTAAAATTAATTCCTTGGTTCAGTACGGTTGTCTTCCTGGGCCAGCACTCAATGCCAATTTCTTTTGCTTGGTTGATCCAAACAGAATAAATATGGCATACATAGAACATGCATTGGACAAACTATCTCATCTACAGAAATGTTGCTATGACCCTACAAATTGGTTGAGTGAGCAATATGAAAAGTACCTCATGTCTGGGAGACTTCCTAAATCTCCAGCTATTGCCTTAGATAATGAATTAGTATATGTACGAAAGGTTTTGGTAACTCCATCTAAGATATACTTTCGTGGTCCAGAGATTAGACTTTCCAATCGTGTCTTACGCAGTTATCCTAATGAAATTGATAATTTTATTTGTGTTTCTTTTGTGGATGAGAATCTGGATAAATTAAACGTGAAAACATTATGTCCCTGGATATTTGATAGAAATGAAGAATTGCATACTCAGCGTACTAGAGTTTATCAAAGAATAATATCCACTCTAAGAAATGGCATAGCTATTGGTGACAAGAAGTTTGAAACTCTTGCCTTTTCAAATAGTCAATTGAAAAATAATTCTTTGTGGATGTTTGCATCTAGACCTGGCCTTACTTCAGCAGATATCAGGGAGCAGATGGGTGATTTTCGCGAGATAAAGAATGTGGGGAGATATGCAGCTAGACTGGGTCTGCCTTTCGGTGCAACCATTGAAGCATTGCATGTTGATAACAAAGAAATTGAAATCATTCCTGATGTAGAAACTGAGAGAGATGGAATTACATATGTTTTCTCTGATGGAATTGGAAAGATATCTGCTGAATTGGCTCAGATAGTGGCTAGAAAATGTGGCATAAAAAGCTCTACTCCTTCTGCCTTTCAGATTCGATATGGTGGATATAAAGGTGTTGTTGCTGTGGATCCAAATTCATCAGTAAAACTGTCATTTAGAAAGAGTATGTTGAAATTCAAATCGAAAAGCACTAGCCTGGATGTTTTGGCATGGAGCATGTATCAACCTTGTTTTCTTAATCGTCAGTTGATAACCCTTTTGTCTGCCCTCGGTATTCAAGATTGTGTTTTCAAAAGGAAGCAGAAAGAGTTTATATCTAAACTAAATGCTATTTTAAGAGATCCCTTAAGGGCACATGCGGCACTGGAATTGATCTCTTCATGGGAGAACACAAATTTTCTCAAGGAAATGCTTATTTGTGGTTATAGGCCAGATGAAGAACCGTTTCTTTCAATGATGCTACAAACATTTAGAGCATCAGCTTTGTTGGACTTGCGAACCAAAACAAAGATATTTGTTCAAGATGGACTAGCTATGATGGGATGTCTTGATGAAACGGGGACTTTGGAATATGGTGAGGTATTTGTGCAATATTCTGGCACTAGTACTCAGCTTTCTGACAACTCCTCTTATATGATTAGTGGCAATGGATCAGTTCAACATAAGATTGTTGAGGGAAAGTTATTAGTTTCAAAAAATCCATGTTTACATCCAGGAGATGTGCGCGTTTTAAGGGCTGTGAATGTGCCGGCTTTGCATCACATGGTGAATTGCATTGTTTTCCCATCAAAAGGAAAGAGGTAAGACTTTTCTAGCTATAATACTTTTTGATATCAGATGTTTATAAAGGTGAAATGATTGGATTTATAATGTTAAGAATACATATGTTTAAATCTAATTCTCGCTAAGTTTGTGGGTTGTATAGATGCATGCGTACGCAAATACACATATTCGCTTACAATAAGCTTCTTTGAATGGACATTTAGAATGTTGTTTTATATACAATTGTTAGTTTTAGAACTGGTGGATTAATCATGTGGTATGTGTATCTTCATTTTCTTCCCTGCTTGGCAAGATTCTATATCAGTGCTATTCTCATGAAATTTTCTTGGATTCTGTTTGTGTTTTATGCATTGTTTTTTCTTTGTTATACTGATTCACCAATGGCTATGCGTAACCTTTCTATATGTCATCTGCAACATTATTAATCAGACCACATCCAAATGAATGTTCGGGGAGCGATCTGGATGGAGATATCTACTTTGTTTGCTGGGATCCTGATCTCATTCCTCCTTGCCAGTTTCCACCCATGGAGTATACACCAGCACCAACTAAGAATTTGGATGATGATGTTACAATAGAGGTACTACTTAACCATAGATGTTCTGCAAATCATTTCTCGCTTTTAATCATTTAATTTCTCTTTTAATTTTCACAAGCATTAGATCACAACAGCAAGAATGAGTCCAATGAGATTTAATCATGCATATTTCCTGTACCCCTTTGAGGATTAAGTACATAGTTTTCCCTCTGCCCTGTGTTATCTTGCACTTAAATATATATATTCATCATATGCATGTATTAGGACTTAGTTAATTTGTGTTACTAATTAATAAGCAAATATTCATGAGACCTATCTACATTTGAGCCATTAATCGGAAAAATTGTGACAAAAAACTCTTGAATTCTGTTTCAATAGTAAGCATCAAACTATGACTGCAAACTAAGTGGAGTTTGATCTTTTTTCTGTGACTTTAACATATTAATTACTGCCATATTGCAGGACATTGAGGAATTCTTCGCTGACTATACCATCAATGACAACATAGGGGTCATTTGCAATACACATGTCGTCTTTGCAGATAAAGAGCCTGACAAGGCAATAAGTAATCAATGCCTTGAGCTTGCTGCATTATTTTCCATTGCTGTAGATTTCTTAAAAACCACTGTGCATGCCAGAATGCCTCAACATCTACGCGTCAGTAAATATCCAGATTTTATGGATAAAGCAGATAATATTACTTATAAATCACAAAGTGTCATTGGAAAGCCTTACCGACAAGTAAAAGCCAAAGCTTCCATAAAACCCTTCACTGAGGAAATGGCGAAACGATCATATGATGATGAAATGGAAGTGGATGGTTTCAAGGACTACATAAATGATGCTTTTTACTATAAGAGTATGTATGATAGCAGGTTGGGGAGCCTAATGCATCATTACGGGATCAAAATGGAGGCTGAAATACTCAGTGGATGTGTGTTGGAAATGGCAAGCTCGCTTGATAAGTAAGGATTGGGAAGCAGTTGCTTGGGCTGTAAGTAGCCTGATAAGTGAAGCCAGGGCGTGGTTCAACAATAATAAGAGAAGTGAGTCAGATTCTAGTTGTGATGCTGATAATTTGTATGCAAAAGCTTCAGCTTGGTATTATGTCACTTACCATCCGAGTTACTGGGGACGCCATAATGAAGAAATGAATGGAGCCCATTTCATTAGCTTTCCGTGGTGTACGATTCATGACAAACTCATGGCGATCAAGAGGGCAAAACTGACAAAATACAGGTATTGAAATTGTTGTAAATGTCTGATGTTATTGTAAAATGCAAGTGCTGTGATTTTCTCTCTCTTGGAATTTTTCAACCCATTGATTCTTGTAATAAAGTGTATAAAATAAGTATCTATCTGGGTTTGTGTGTCAGCCTCTTTGTCTTTTCTGTTATTACTGTTAATTGTTTGTCATTATTATAAGATTCAAATGTGTTCATATCACATCAGTTTTGGTTCATAAGCACATATCTCCATGAATTGAATGGAGGTTTTGTTGTAAAATTCAAGTCGAAAAGAACTTCTATGCAATATTTATGTATATTTGGTCAATCAGGATGCGCCAAATTAGCGTACATGCATGAAACGCTCTAAGAATTGACTAAATACATGTGCATATACTGCATCAAAGATTCATCAAAGGAGTTTTTAAAAAGTTCATTCCATCTTAAAATGCTGAGAAATAACTTGGAAATGTTGCAGAACTCGATGCTTGAACCAAATTTAATCTATGTGAACTCTTTCATGAAGACTATTATTGGTTTTTCAAACTTTTGGTGATATTTATAGTTAACAGCATAAAGGGTAAAACAGAGAAGTGAGAGCAAAACCGAACAGTTGGGTGACAAATTCTGGGACTCTGTTCATTTAGATAAACATTTCTCAATCTTATTGCCTTGTGAAGAAGGTTTCAGAATAGAATTCTTTTACTAATTTAACTTGGGATTCTTCACATTTTTCAAATTGTAAATTCGGCTGGCAGTCTAGTCATAGCAGAAGCAGAGCCAGGGCCAGGGCCAGGCTAAGTTAGTAAAACAGAGAAGCCAGAGCAAAACAGAACACCTTATCGTTTAAATCTCCTCTCCCAGTCTCATTGGACTAATATTTCATCTGCAGTAGATTTTAAATTGCAAATGAACAACTGTATTAATAATGTCACTTGTTTGTATCTACTCACATTTTATAAACGTAAATTGAGTCGTGACTCCTCCAACTCCAAGGCCACAAATTAATAAGTTTTGCTTCCCCTGTCATCAGCCTATGTTCTAGAGCTAGTACTGATTAAAAATTCTTCAAACAGTTGATAACCCACATGGCCATTAAAGGCTTCCATCTGTCAATCAGTTGAAAGTTTTTAAATGCTGCGAAGTTGCTTGGAAATTTAGCGATGGTGCAGAACTCGATGCTCCAAGCAAATTTAATTTATTTATTACGTAACCGAGCTACCTCAAACCTTCCGTTAGACCGGATAATATTCTAAATGTCTCAATTTGATTTTATTCTCAGATTCCGATGCTGCTTTAATGGTGTAAATTATATCAGGAATCTTAGAAAGCTAACTACTGACAAGCCAACCATACAGAAGTATACACAAGATACTTTTACATTCTGTAAAATCAAAACTATGCTTGTTCTGAATATTTTTATATGTAATGAGAATGTTCATCCATTTTCATTTTTAATATTAACTGCAATAGAAAATTATTGATGTCTGACACAATTACAATATGTATTTTAAACAGCTTTTGGGGTACCAAATGAAATGAATTAAGCAAATATAATTTGATTTAATTAACACAAAATAATAACTATAAATAATAATAATAAAAAAAGAAATGTTAGTCTTACAAAAATAAATACAAAAAGACATACAAAATAACCGATCTTCGTAATTTCTTCCCCTCTTTCTCTTTTTCTTTGTATAAGTCTTGATAGCATTTTTCTTAAAAAAAAAAAAAAAAATCATTCTTGTTTTGAATAGAAAATTTGGCAATGACTGTGGACTCGACAGCCCATAACGTTTTAAGTCTTCCTTTCAAATGGAAAATTTTTAAGTCAAGGTCGCTCACTGACAAACTGTGATAGTTTATTTAATGAAGAAATTAAATATGCACCAGAGTCATGAGTACTTCTTTATTACTTTACTTTCAAAGTTAAAAAGTTAAGAGTTAAGAAATGGGGTTGAAATTTCAAGTCTTGGGTTTTCAGCTACTGGTTTAAGCGATCTCGGATCTTCACACAGTTCTCATTCGCATCTGGTAAGTGCTAATTAATTGACACTTTCTGGTCTGATTTCACTACTTTTGTGTTGGAGTTGAGAATATATTATTGTTTGCTTGAAAAAAATATTATTTTCACACTACAAATTTCTAAAACTTTCATCAGCGTTCCATTTGGGTTAATGGGTTGATCGATATAGCTCTATATATTTATTTACCCTTTTGAAGTCAAATACTTTGCTACTTAACAACCCAAACGAAGAGGGAATTAAACTAATCTTGTAGAATTATTTGTTTCATGGTTTCAACTTTCAATGATATAATGGGAAAGTATTACTGTTGTGGGATTCTTTTCACACCTTGCTTTGCTGACTTGGTGTTTGATACCAACGTTTAATCAAATAATATTATGTATCATAGCAAATTATGTTAATTCTTAAACTATTATGAATTATGTGATTCTCGTGGGTGTGGATAATGACATATAGAATCTAATATTTTGTTTATAGTGTTCTTCACACTTAACTTCTTTTTTATTTGCAGTCGTTTTTCACCAACATCAGCCCATTCTTAATGAATAATTAATTAAATTAACTATGGTTGTTTAGGAGATAGAGACTTGACATTGAATATATGGCTCTGACTTTACATGTGGTAGCCTCTGGTGACTGGAAATACCGTCTGCCCTCTGAGTCTTGATTATTCACAAAGTTAAACATTATTCTCACGCAATTAAGCATCTTCTTCCCCTTCATAGCAAGCAAGAAATCGCTTTTGTACCTTCATGGCAAGAGCTTCCCTTCCCCTTTGAATCTTGTTCTTTTACCTTTAGTCATCTATATCATCTCTGTTTTTGTGTTATTTGAAGTTTTTGTATGTGAAGATGATATGGGCGGCGTTATTACCTACCTTAAGCATAACCGACCATTTACGAGCAGAGAGATCAGCATCAGAGACGGTAACTCCAACTTAACTGGCAGAACAAGTAGCAGTCGTGCAATTTCTAGAGTTGGTTCTGGAATTATTAGCAGAAATCGCAGCATGTCAAGGCAAGCATCGACCTCAGTAACTGTGAATGGTAGCGGCAGTAGCAATCAAGATCAAAAGAAGAAGAAGATTAACAGCATCAAGAAAAAGTATTCTTTCATCCCTGACAATTTCAAAACCCTTGAAGAGGTTCATAATTCTTTTCCTTATTTTTCATTTTTGGTTTCTGCGATTTCTTCAATTTTGTATCCTTTTCATGCATTTAATAATACAATTTGACATATTAGTCGTATGTATATGGATGACGTGATATTCTATGCTCACCAAATGCTTTCATCTTCAACCTAATCTCTTTGTTTGATAGTTGAGTGGTGGGTAGTAACATATATGGTGGCATTCAATTAGTTGAAAGGACTAATGAGATTTTTGGATAATATGGGTATTGTGAGAGGTGGGAGAGATTTATCAATAAAGTGATGGACAGAAATAAATATGAAAAAGTAAATACGATAAGTTTAAATTTTTATATTTATTTTTTTATTATTTTTTATTACGTTATTTGTACAAAAATATTTATAAGATTTATTTAATGGAAGGACCACGTGTTTCACCCGAGGTTTGGTGAAATGACACTTTCTCCACCGACCGTTACGTTCCACCGACTGTTATGATCCGTTGGGAAAATCCGTTATGTAAACAATGTAAAGACAAAAACACCCTTCTCTATTCTTCTTCTTCTTCTCTTTTCTTGTTTCTCCTTTGTCGGAATCTCTTCTTCGCCGGAATCGCACCTGCCTTCCTTCTCACACAAAATCTCCATCCTTATCCAAATCAACACACACCATCATCACCCTTATCCAAATCAAAAAAATTAAAAATCTGGGAAAAAAAAAAGTTGACCTCTGCAAACTCTCTCGGCCGTCGCCACCACCACCAATCTCCGGTAAGTTTAAACTCTCAACTTGCCTTTATAATACAAACCTCTGGCTCTTCTCCCTTACATGGTCAAAAACATTCCTTCTTTACTCTTTTAATCTCAATCTGCGTCCTTTAGATTTCACAAGCTCTTCTCTTTCTTTCTCTAATAACTCTCTTTATAATCCCTCATCTCTATCTTTTCACCTCCATATTAAGGCCTTTATTTTTTGGAAAAAACATGGATCAAAAGAGCTCGTCAATAACACTTCATCAACATCTGTAATTCAAATCTTTTGGGACCTCTCTCTTGCTAAATTGAGATCGAGACCCGAACCTCATTCTGGGTTTGAATGGTCATGTGGAGGGAGCCGGTGATTTTGGTGCCCTTGAAGGGCTAAGGAGGGCCGAACTCTCGGTACGGCAAGCCATGAGACCAGGCATTTCGAGTTCGGCCAACTCGATCTCGATACGATTGAAGTCGACCTGAGACATATCCTTGACCTTGCACTCACGGCCGAAGGTGGTTTTCTTGACGAGCAAAGCCATGGTGAAGATTGGATGGCGGGTGCCATTCCGGCCAATTAATGGGTTGGAGGATTTTGGGGTAGTGGAGGTGTTTTTTTTTTTTTAAGTTTATATCGAAAAAATTACATAATTATCCTTTAATTATTTTTTGAATTTATCATTTTGTCCTTCTGTTTAAGTTAACAGGCGGTGGATGGGAAAGTGTCCTTTGGAAACTTCACGGGTGGGCAACTGTCGTTTGGCCAAACCTCTGGTGGGAATCTGTCCTTGTTTAATTGGCCAAATTTTTGCTAAACTCCAACAACTTGTTTTTGTTCGCTACAGTTCTAATAATAATTGGTTAAACAGGAAACACATTTTTAGTCAAGTCAACTTTTTTGGTTTTGGGAAAAGAAAGGCACCTTTGACGCTAGCAAACAAGAACAATAATTAATTCTTATCTAAAGTTCTAGTGCATGGGCCACTCGTTTGGTAATGGTGGATCACGTGGGAGCCATATTTTCTGGATATTCTCCTCTTGAATTCTTGTGTAAGTAGTGAGAGAATAGAAACTTTCATAAAGAAATAGATAGTGGGATGAAATTATGGAGGTGGACCAGTAGGTTGGCATGAGAGCTAAACTAAAGCCTTTAATTTAGTTCACCCTTAGTTTGAAGGAGTAGATGGATGATACTTTAAGTCTTTAACTACTTTGATTCTAAGATAGAAAACCTTCTTTTTTAATCTTTTTTTGTGATAACTAAAACCTCAGGGATAATAATTTCAAGATATGTGCAGTCAAAATGCTTAAATGAAGGGAAGCTAAAGTTCCACATGAAACCAAAGTCAGAGTTGCTATCTTGACTTTTAGATAAGCAGCCTAAGATTAAAAGTCTATGAACTTAATCTAAGTTTAAAGAATATTCTAAAAAATATCCCATGACAAGAATGCTCTTCCATTTTAGTCCCTGCTACATGTCCTTGTGTAGAGCTCACTTATCATTGGATAACTTTGGACTCACTGCCTAGGAGAATCTATGTTACTTACACTGGAAATTCCTTCTCCTTTTACTAATCATTTATCATTCTGGTTACCCACAATTATTATGTTACTTACATATGTTATGTTAATAAGTATTATGGATTTTTTTAGGATGCTAACTTTTAGTTATAATTTTATACATGTTGCCAATGCCATATAACATCACAGAATTTTGTTTTGTACAAGTATTTGTAATCTTTCTTGTCAAATTTACTGAGTTTCTGAAGCTTGGGAAATGGTATTTCCCGTTTTCAGGTAACAGCAGCCTTGAGAGAAGCTGGTTTAGAATCATCCAATCTCATTCTTGGAATTGATTTCACTAAAAGCAATGAATGGACTGGTATACATTATTGTTCTCGGAATATAATTAACTTGAGTGAAATTGAAGTCCTTTCAGTTAAACAAGAGACCATGCATATCTCTTTCTCATATTCATGCATTATATTGGTTTTAGTCAACCTTGAGAGGAACTCAACATTTAAACTTGGAAAAAAACTAGAATTGCTGCATGACAACCACCAATGAGGACACGCCACGCTAGCATGCCTGACATTTTACGCGTCTCATAGTTGATTGGTTACATGTGCAACTGATTCTAAAGTTTGACACTAGCTCTTATGTAATATTTTTAGCAGGTTGTGCATTTACTATGTAGTTTTATTTAGATTTAAGAAGCAATGTGAATTGAGATGTATATTGGTTGAAGAATGATATATGCTTTATGATTATTGAAACTAATGCATTCATGTTATGATTGAAGGCAAAGTCTCCTTCAATAATCGGAGCCTTCATTTCATTGGAGACACCCCTAATCCATATGAAAAAGCAATCTCTATAATTGGAAAGACAATTGCCCCCTTTGATGAAGACAACTTGATCCCTTGTTTCGGCTTTGGTGATGGTAAGCTCTGATGTTTACTTCTTCTACAAGTTTAATCTGTTGTCTCCTTCTTTCACAATCAATAGGATGATTCTAATTTTTTATTTTCTCATAACAGCTACAACACATGATAATGAAGTGTTTAGTTTTCACACTGATCATACTCCTTGCCATGGTTTTGAAGAAGTATTATCCTGCTATAGAAAGATAGTTCCAAACTTGCGACTTTCTGGTTAGTTCTCAATGATCAAATGAATACAATGTTTTGCTTATCTGAAAAATGACAGCTTTTTAAGTATAATGTATTTGTTTTAAGGGCCAACTTCTTATGCTCCGGTGATTGAAGCTGCAATCGACATTGTAGAGAAGAGTGGTGGGCAGTACCATGTATTAGTTATAGTTGCAGATGGCCAGGTTGAATCTGAAGTCCCCTATCTCTGCCTGTCTCACAGAAATGTACACCCACTTGCATCATATTTATCAATGTGTTTTCTTTTACTGTGAAGGTTACAAGGAGCGTCGATACACATGCTGGAGAGCTGAGTCCACAAGAACAGAAAACAATCCAGGCTATTGTTGATGCAAGGTAGAGTCTTGCCTGGAAGAACAAATTGTGTAATTATTAAACTTCAGTTTGTTTAATTAATATGGAATATGTTTGATAATCTGTAACCAGTTCATATCCACTCTCTATTATTCTTGTTGGAGTTGGGGATGGACCTTGGGAAGACATGAAGAAATTTGATGACAAAATCCCATCACGCGAGTTTGATAATTTTCAGGTACTGCTTTGCTCCACTGACAGCAGACAACTAAGCTCGAAAGCTTTCTAATATTATATCAGGCTTTGTATTTAAGTTTTCTTTTTGCTTGCAGTTTGTTAATTTCACAGCCATTATGTCAAAACAATCAAGTCCTGAAGAGAAAGAAACAGCTTTTGCTCTTGCTGCCCTCATGGAGATTCCCTTTCAATACAGAGCAACCATTGAATTCGGTTTACTCAAGTAAGGATCACTAAATCTTTAATATTCAATCCACAAATGCAGAATGAATATTGTTTTATAGAAGCTTTGCATCAAAGACACTATAAGAATGACGTTCTGGCTTTTGCTTATGTTGTATTGCATTGGACAATAGGCGTAGAACAGGGAGAGCACCGAAGATAGTTCCTCGCCCTCCTCCAATTCCTTACAGTCGTCGTCCTCCACCAGAGCATGTAGTAAGCAACATTGCATCATCACCTGCGATAGATGATCGAACCCAGGTATGATAATGAGAAGATATGAGGATATAAATTGTTACATGAGTAATTTGATCGTAGGAAATTATGTTTTAATCAACTGGAAGAAGGGGAATCAGCTAACTTCCTTTGTATTCTGAATCAGCATGGATTTTTTCAATCTTTCATGTACTGATAATGCTAAATTGTAGGCTTGTCCAATTTGCTTGACTAGTCCAAAGGACTTGGCCTTCGGTTGTGGACACATGGTGAGTTGCAGTACCACAGCTTTTTGATTTTGGTTTCTCTTACTTGATAACATGTCTTAATTTTGAGTTAAAATTTACTTGAACTCAGACTTGTAGAGACTGTGGGTCAAGAGTAACAAACTGTCCCATATGCCGCCAAAGGATCAACAACCGTCTGAGGCTGTATTCTTGATGGCTGATCCAAAGGAAGTTCATGTTTCAAACACATCGACTACCTGTATTATTACGTTTAGGTTTGAGAGAAAACAGTGTGCTTTCAGGTTTTCACAATTGTGTATTTTTTTACATTGTAAATCTCTGTTTTCCAAGCCTGATTTGTGCACTTGTAATAACTATATCCGTGTTCTTTCTTTCATCTCCTCGAAGGGTTCTGCTGTCTTTATCTTCAATAAAAGATTTGTTTATATTATCAGGTTCCATGTTCAAAACTAAATAAGACAAAAAGAAGAAAAAAATTGCAGAATGAAGTATCAAGAAAAGCTCTCAAACTTGTTTACAAAATGCTTCATTTAAAGAAGAAGGATGCAGCAAATGCTATATATTACAGATGCCATTGAATTACAGAAAATTGTCCTCCAAACCACTTCATGAGTCATCTGGTTATAGCACATACATTAAACATTTCATACTTGTAAAGCTTGATGGAAGTTCGCAAGTCCTGGAATATCAGCTAACGAGCTTAAAGCTTCACCACTGCATAGCATTTGAAAGCAGAAAATGCATACTATATCAAAAATATCGCCATATAAAGACAGATTACTCTCGAGGAAAAGACGTTACCTGTAAACAAAAAAGAAAAAAACACTGCCAATAAAGGCCAAACCTTGAATTATTCCATCACAAGCACAACCCACAAAATTTAGCATAACGTTCACAAATTAACCTTTAGGTTTTCAATCAAGGTATCTGAATCCCTAAAATCAGAAAGCATTTGCACAAACAGTAGATCCCATCTCGGAATCTACTTCTTTGGAGCTTTGTCAGTTTTGGAATCCCTGTCAGCTTCCGTAGTATTTTCCTTTCGGATTGGTTGAATTCTCACATAAGGTTTCCTAGTAAGTGTCTCTCCTCTCAGAGCAGCTACATATCTGTCATTTGTATCCTCTTTCCGCTGCAGCTCCCCAAGGTACTCCGCTAGTCTCTCTTGATTTACCTTTCCCATCATCTAATTCACAAGTGAGATAATACAACTGTCAAGACATTTTCATTTGAAGAAAGAACTTGCATTCAGAAAGAAGAAATAGATCCAAATTAAAACCAAGTTTAAATAACAAACTCGAATAAGCACGAATAGTAGTTAGAGAACCAAAAATGGTTGAACATGAGCAACGGAGTAAGACATTAGATCAGTAAGTTAAGAAAGAAAGAAAATAATCTCTTTTCTGCTTCCACAGTTGAATCCACTGTTAGTGAACTCAATATTAATGTTAGACCCATATTGAAGTCCCAAGTTTCTGGATCATATTATTGTAGTTGATCACTAAGAAACAGTGAGTCTTTCTGAGTCAAATGGTAAACTAACATTCACAATCTCAAAATTTCCAATAAAGAAAAGCAAAATAAATTTCAAAATTCAATACTTTTACATACCAATAATACGTAATTAATCTTCAAATATCCCTTAACGAAGGGTAGACTAACGACATCATCATTTGAATAAAGACCATGCTTTTAGAAAGAAAAAGAAAATTAAAAAAAAAAAAAAATTAAAACCAATTCCAAACAACTAACTTGGAGAAGGATGATGGTTAAATAAGAGCAATCCAACAAACAATTATATCAATAAGTCCAAAACAAATATCTCTTTTCTGCTTCTACAGTTGAATCCACTGTTAGAGAGCTGAATACAAGTATAAAACCCTTACTTGATCACTTGAGTTTTTATTTAACTTAACATGATACTATCCATATTTGGCTGTCAAATACCAGTGTATCCTTACTCAACTACGTCCACAATCATGAAAACAATGTTTCAACTACGTCCACAATCATGAAAACAATGTTACACATACAAAACACATAACCTGACTTCAAAAACAAACTCTGTTCTTACTGTACCATTAATCCTATTAATTGCTTCAAGGTTTTAACTTTTGAATACAAAGTTTGTAAATGTAGTATTATTCATCTCATAATCTCGAATTATGGAAACCAAAACTAGATAAACAATTCTATTTCTTCACGTCCCAATCGAATCAAGTTATCACCTTTTTCCCTTTAGCAAAACACTTCCCTCATTCAATGAAAAACCCTAATTCCAATTTTTTTTTTCTTTTTTGTGGGTTCACATCTCCGCCTTAACTACCGTTTGTTTAATTCATCGAATAATTAACGGCTGAAAATTTAATGAATAAATAAGAGGTGATATTTTGATGGAATGAAAATGAAACGTACGAGGGAATCGGGGCGGGCGGTCTGGCGGAGTTGGGCTTCGAGCTGGGGGTTACGAGAGTTGGTAAGCTGCATGACGCAGTAGCCGATCACACCTGGAACGACACCGCATACGGTGGCGAATGCGAAAAAGAAGGGCTTTGAGTCCCTAGTCTTTCTTACTATCCACCTCCATGTCTCACTCTTCTCCCACAGTATCGACATCTCTCTCTCTCAGTTTCCCTAACTCAGTAAGTCGCCATCAATTAATCATTTCTTTTCAAGAGATTGGGCCGCCATTTTATTAATGTAAAGCCCAATACTAAAGCTTGTAAAATGGGCTCGAAAAACCCTACCCAATATAAAGTATTATTTCTTAAACCCAGACATCATTGATGTTTCTCCAAGTAATGTAAAAGGTTATACATTGGTGGGAGTTATGGATAAGCTCCTCGGAAATTGTAATATGAGCCTACAAGTGATGACCAAATATATATATAAATAAGCAGATATTTTTGACTTATTTAATTATTGGCATTGCGGCCATTTCCAGGACCAATATTTGACCAGATCCTATGGTCTCCTCACTCTCAAAGCCACTTCTCACGCTAACAATAAAAACTATTTATCATCATCAACCTTTTCTCTCTTTTCTATACACACACCCACATACTATATGTAAATACACAAGCCACATTTTAATTGACTTAATATTTTTGTATTTTGTATTTATACATGCTATATTAACAAATCGAAGTTAAATTTGACAAACACTTCTCACAAACTTGTTTCTCTAACATTGATATGATGGTTCGCAATTAATCAGCTCGTATATTTATCTGGTGAAATCTATTATAAACTGATCAATTATGAGTTGATACGTTGTGTTGAGAAAAAAGTTATAAAATAGATTTATAAGTATAGTATTACCAAAAAATACACAGCTCATAATTTTTTTTTGAATATGTATAACTATATATACTAACTCCTTTTCATGGATTACCCAACTGACTGGAGCTACCATTTACAGCCTAGCTATCTCATCATCAAATTCATCATCATCGCCCTTTAACCTTTGGCCTTTGCTTTATTATGGTGTGAAAGGTTGCATGGCTTTAGGACTCCAATATTTAACATATATTTGTATTTATTACTTTTAATTCTCTCTAGAGGAATAGTTTATGGAGAAAAAGGATGAAACCCATGTGATATATGGAGCTAAAATGTGAGAGTTTAATTGATGAAGATGATAAAAATATGAGTGGATTCTCTCCTAGTCCTAGCTAGCTAGTATGTTTAGTTAGAGGTTTGAGTTGAGTTGATTATATTAGTGATCGAGTTTGCTTTTTCTGATGGAGCGTATTGGGAAAAAAGAAAGAGTGTTGGAATCTCTTTATGCAAATCAAAACAAAAGCTTCTTAAATGTTCTCCTTCACAACACAGTACTCACATACATAAGGTTGAAGTTATTGTTCTTGTTATCAAATATTGTGCAGGACGATTGGTAAAGACAATAAAAGGGTCTTTCGGCAAAAGAAACCTACATCTCTCTCCCTCGCCGCCTCTCTATCTCTCAAAGTAACTACTGAAATACATAGAGCATAACTCAACTCATCCCATTGTTGATGTGTAAAAATCGTAAAAGCCATCTAAAGATAGCAAACAGAATAAAAGATTGTTACTTATTTCTGAATATTCTGTTTTTATCTACAGTAATTCCTCTGACTCTCTATATTCTTGTATAAGCCTTGTTTCAGTTGCCATCTTTCTCTGATGCAATAGTCTATTTCATGCCAAGCAATACTTAAATACAAAATTTTAAGTCTTTCTTTATATGTTTTCATGTAAATTAAACTATCTAGCTTCTCACAGATCCATGTGTTTTTGATCAAGTATATATTAGAATTGGGGTGTGCAAAAATGAAGTTGTGAATGAGCATAGAGAGAGACCAGTCAAAGATTTTGTGTTTGTAATCATTAAAGTGGTGAGTATGTCTTTACTGATATGAAAATGATATTTTAAGGAAAGGAACTAAAGGAGAGAGCACAACATAGAACAAAATATAACAGTAAAGAAAAAGTAGTTTGGATGGCAGGAAAATTTAAAGTTAACAAAAGAAAAAGCAGACTGTGACGGTGTGCCAGGTAGATTTTCTCAGATGATGATGCTGGGGCCTATCTTCAAGCCATCACCTGTTGAATGATAAAAGTGCTCTTTTTCTCTTTGAGATTAAAAATAAAAGTACAGAGAATCCTCCATATGGACCCATCATCCCATTTAATTCTCCTATACGTGTCCTTTCATACCATCATCCGATCAACCATTTTTATCACCAACACCAATTCACATTCTCATCTTCTATACCTCAGACTCAGTTCGACAGTTTTCCTTTTCTTTATGTAATGCAGTTTGGATAAGAACATGAAATTAACAATACTGGGAAAGAGTCACTCAGAATCATGAAATGGAACTGATGCTAAAGGGTTATAATAAGAGTGAAATATACACCAGAATTCGAGACTGGTCCCCTTGTCAGTTATCAGCCGTTAGATTGAATAACATATTCAAAATATACTAAAGAGTATATGAATGTCGGGGAGCATACACCACCGTCAAGGAAAAGTAACGAATGATTGTATTATTCTATGATTTGATCTATGTACGTATTAAATTAAGTATTCATTTGTTTAATTATTTCCTAAAAGATTATATCTTCTGACAATAAACTATAGGGTTGTCTAGATCATGTCCCTATATGTTTATATTATAATATGTAATTGGATAATCTTTACATCTCCTCTCTTCGTAATCTTCAACTATACAAGTTCGATGATCTCTTTCGAAGCTGCCAGGGGACGGGTTCAATTTATACACATGTGAATTGAATTGGTTTGTTTAATTTGTATGATCTTATTGCATGAGAATGTATTAATGGACTGCCCCACAGCCATCCATCTTCAATTATTGGTCATTTATGATGATATTAAACCGCTGATTAAGAGACGCATTTACAGATTTACATTAACCAACTATATATGCATGCATGCATGCTTGAATGAGAATATCAGTTTCAATTCCAAGAGATTTTACAATTTGATAATATCGCGATAGATTCGGAAAGGGTAATTTCCCAATCAGGGAAGGATAATTTCAACTTTGGTAAGGAGATATATCATGCGATACAGACTCCAAAATTAAAGTCAAAGATCAAGTTGTTTTCCTACTTCTAAGGGTTCAATGTTTATTTCCAATTCAAATTTGTAATGGGTGCTATATAAACCCAACTCTAATATGTTTGGAGGGACGGCAATATCTACACATAACAGGACGACTAGGCTGAGAAAAGAGAGAACTTGAGTCCACTCTAAATGTCTTTAAAGTCCTTTTGCTTCTTTTTATTGTTATTCATATACAATTGTTTTTTTTCCATTATTGATCCATCAGAATTATGTAAACAATTACGTATCTCTCGTTGTTGAGATTTCTTGCATCAACATAACCTAATTAATTTTGCTAAGTAGGTATTCTTGCATTTCAAATGTTGCTTACAGTGTCGTTGGTATGTTGTTCGTAGCTTGCTGGCCATATTACATAATATGCCAAGAGTACAAGGGTGGAAATGCAAATACATGTTGATATACTGTTAATTAATTATAATATTAAACAAATACATTGTGATTAAAATAAGAGGAAGAGACTAGTATTGCGTGTTATAGGGTGTGGACGGCCAGTGGCCCACACAGCCTTTTGAGAGGGCGTCTTATATTTTGTTAGTTTGTGAGCAGGCAAAAGCAGATGAGAGAAGCTTCTTATCCTCCCTGTGGGTTTTCACACAAATCGTTAGACATAGAATCTTTTAAAGCCAAAGTTGTTCTTATTATCATATGATCTATATATTCTCCTTCTTCATCTTAATCCTCCATCATCAACTTAATTACAATTCACCCTCTCCTTAATCCTTATTTCATCTTAAGATTATTATATAATGGCAACCATGTGATAGACTGAAATCTTAAGGGTTAATATTTTGCCCATGGTCCCAATAGTGGCCTATATAGTTCATTATCGTACAAGCCGGTTTAGTACAGGTCCTGTTACATCAATATTTACTCTCTCTCTCTCTTTCTCTCTTTCTCTCCTTCTCTCTTCCTCTAGCTCTCTGATATCTATCTCTTGGCTAGCTTCAATGGCACCTATGAGCCTCCCTCCTGGTTTCAGGTTCCATCCAACAGACGAAGAGCTTGTTGCTTACTATCTTGATCGAAAAATTACAGGCCGCACTATTGAGCTTGAAATTATCCCAGAGATTGATCTTTACAAGCATGAACCATGGGACTTACCAGGTATTTCTTTTTTATATATTTGAATTTTCCTTAGTGATCGAATAAAATGATATGTACCTATATGTTCTTATAGTTATATTAATGATGATGGATGATTTATTATATATATGTATTTATTTGAACAGACAAGTCATATTTGCCTGGGAAAGATATGGAGTGGTATTTCTTTAGCCCTAGGGATAAAAAATATCCAAATGGGTCAAGAACTAACAGAGCAACGAGAGCCGGTTACTGGAAAGCCACCGGAAAAGACAGACCGGTACATTCTCATAAGCGGTCGGTTGGGATGAAGAAGACTTTGGTTTATTATAGAGGTAGGGCTCCCCATGGCATTAGAACTAATTGGGTCATGCATGAGTATCGGTTGCTTGACTCCTTGTGCGGCACTGCTTCCTCTGCTTTAAAGGTATGCTACTAACTTATTACACCTTCTGCAATACTATTTTGTAAATTCTTCTTCTTCTTTTGACATAGATCTATTAGGGTTTAGATAATTCTATGTTCTTGATCAAATGAATTAATGATGCAATCAGATCATTAATTAGTTTTCATTGGATCTCTCTCTATTTGACACTGTTTAGCAAATCTCCATCTTTAGAAAGAATCATTTTGCGAGCATGCATGATCTATGTAGCTCTTTCTTTTTAATCTTTCTCTTTACTAAAGAAGAAATATAGCTTATCACCATGATGATGAAAGACTCTTTGTTCTAGACTTTAGTGTGTAGTTACTCTCATATTTCTTCTGTTTCTGATTCCATTTTTTCTTTCTTTTTGTTTTTCCATCTTTCTTAGCTTGCTTTTAGATCTTTGTATGATACTCTTTTGCCTCATGAGTGAGTGGTTGTGCAAACTTGATGACATTAACAGAGAATTTAATTAATTAATTTAACAATTTTGTACTGCTACAGGATTCTTATGCATTGTGTCGCGTGTTCAAGAAAACAATACAAATTTCTAAAACAAAAGAAGGAAATAATGAAGTACAGAAGGAAACAATGGCGGGGGTCTCAGATGAACAAATGTTAGGAGATGACACAAGTGGGGTTGAAAGTTCCCACGGAAGAGAAGCCGAAGATGAAAATTTCAATTACTCTAATAATAAATTCCCATCTGATACTTCTTCTTCTGATTTCACTCGAGGGACTCCCACTGAAACTGCTGGCACAACAGATGATTTACAAGCTCCATTTGTCTCCGATGAAGCTAACAGTGCAGCTAATATGTATTCCCTTGGCGTCGACTTCTCTTCCAATCTAATTCAGGTACACTAAAAGCACATATATATTCATCATCAAATTCAGGGTTTTTATCAAAGTTCATAAAATATTCATTGAACATGACGTAAGATGATATTTTACAAAACGATTGGTGACATAAGTCAGCATTAGGTCACTTCATTTCTCCAAGATGGGGCCTCACAATTTTTATATTGCAGTAATTTCTGTCTTTATTTGTTCATGATGACATGATTATCTCCTTTACCAAGGCTACATTTCCAGCAAATTTTGCTTTGTTGTTGCTCTATTACCAAGGGGCGCTTGACCTTGACGCTCAAGATTTTAACAACAATTAAATCACTCTTCCTTTAAACACCATCGATCACCCTGTTTGCATTCACACAAAAATGAAAGTACAAATCGATTGGGCGATGCCGATGCGTTGGAAATGGCCCACACTACAATTTTCTTTTGATCTTAAAGTAACAAAAGTTACATGTAATGAAACTCCTTATCTTTTCCAGCATAAAGCTAGCTTCCCATAGCTTCTAAAAATCTCTTAGGCTGACTCAAATATGTCTTTCTTCACCATCTTCTATAACTTCTTTTGACTGACTCAAACCCTCTTTTCTTTTCCATTTTCCTCACTCTCTAGCTCTTCACTGTCACTATCTCCAATGACACATTTCCTTTTTCTCATCTAATTGCAACTAAAATTCAACTCTCATTTCCCCAGTCAAAATAATCTGCCATAATTTCTTTCTGTATAAGATTTACATGGCATTAACCTATATATCACATGCCAGTTTGAACCATTTCCATTTTGATGTTTACTATTATTATATTCGTCAAAGAACGTGACACAACAAAAGTGATTGCTTATCTTGTGTAGTTAATAATTTCAACCTCCTTTTGTGAATGCAGGAAATGCAAATGCCGAACATTTATGCAGACCTTCAATATCCATGTCCATACCCACCATTAGAAGTAGAAGACTTCCCACAAATAAACATAGCGGAGGAGACGAAGCCATCAAAGCCTGAAAATTTGGAGGAGATTTTGATGTATGATAAATACTACAGGGATTACATGAACGGGACACTGGAAGAGATTTTTTATTTGTGTGCTTCTCAAGACAATTCCATGGCGCTCACCATGCGAGAATGATCATCAGATTACTAACAAATTAAATGATACAGCTTTTATACCTGTTTCTTAATTCTCACATATAAATATAAATATATATGTATGCTACTTAATTTTATACTTACAATTCATTGACGACACAAATTAAAGGTTAGAATTAATATTGTATTGGGGCATTAATAACCCAAAATGGGGGATTATTTTGCTAACCACGAGGCAAGTCAAGTCTGTTTTCCAATATTTGCTTTTGCTTCAAGAGAATTGAATTGTACCACTTATACAATCATGGACCCATGGCATGGGCATACCATTATTTCTTTGTTTCTTTCATTTTTTTTTTTTTTTTCTCCTTTTTATTATAATGTTGTTGTAATTGCTGGGTCATTTTTGAAAAAGAAATGGAAAGTATACTTTATTTAAATTTTCTTTTTATTTATTATTGTTAATTTTCTCCAATCATACATATAATTGATCAATAGGTGTAATACTCATTAAAATTTCTTTACAGAACCCACCCATGGGTAGCCCAATGATAAGGGCGAACCAAGGGACCATGCATGATTTTAACCTATAGTTTTAGGTTCAATCCCACACTTATATTTTACTCACGATTTACCTTTGTTTATGATTTATTTGGGGGTTACGTTTCAGTGATGGGTTATTGTGGGATAACTTTACTTAAAGAATAAGAACACCTTAAATAAAGAAAAAAAAAAAAAAGGGCAATTTAATTGATTGCAAACATAATTTCTACTAATGAATAAAAATACAAAATTAGCAATGAAAATTAAATTATATAAAAATAGGTCAATAATTGCTCAGGATATAGCTAGTTAAAATAAATTAACCAAACACTAAGAACTCCCTTAATTACAGGAAATTCCTACGTTTCTGGTCGGTAAGGTTACCAAGAAGAAAGGGTGATCAGTGGGGGTAACCTTACGTTAACGGTATCCTAGTTGGACCCTTAATTAAAGGCTGTCATGTTGTAGGTTTTCGGCCCAACTATGGCTGAAGCAAACACAACACAGTATTGGGATTAAGCTCCAATCACACCATCTTAAACAATTAATCAGAAATGGGTTATGATTGCCTTAATAACAATGCACGCTTCGATGGATTATTGGGCTTTTTTCTTTCGGCATTCTGGGCCTTTACTTGGCCGGCCCATTATCCGGCCACTAAGCCATATGGGTTTAACACCAAGCTCTATTTGACATGTGTTAGTTTGATTTTTTATAGGGTGCGTTTGGTTTACTATTCCTATCCATATTCCAAATCCTATTCCCAAAATACTTGTTTGTTTAATTATTTGGGAAATATTATTATATTTTTTAATTACTTTTAGACCCTTTAAGTTTATTAATTTCATTAAATACCCCAGGAAAAAAGTTTAAAAATTAACAAAAACACCCCTACTCACCCATAGTTGTCAGATTCTGGCAACCACCGTCAATGGTTGCTGAAATTTGTCACAACTACCTAAAAACCACCGGAACTGGCCGATAAGTCGCCGATCTGGTCTTTTCTGGCCGTTGACAGTTGGAAAAGGCTAGATCGACACACGTGCGGCCAGATCCTATCGATCTGAGTCATAACGCCAGATTTAGACCAGATTCTGGCGGTGATGACTGGAATCTGGCACTGTGGTTAGGTGAGGGTGTTTTTGTCATTTTACAAAAAATTTATATATTGGGGTATTTAGTTAAATTAGTAAACTTAGGGAGTTTTTTTTTTTTTTTTTTTTGTAAATTTTTAAATTTTACCTCATAATAATAATCATATCCAACTATCCAATACTATCCCTAAAATCCTATCCAAAATAATAAACCAAACGCACCCTAATTATTCTAAAGAAAATTTCAACTCTTATATTCATGGTATAACAAGATTTTTAGAACTAATGCTTCTTTCATGTTAGTTGTGAAGGAGACAATGTGAGAGCTCAATTAACTAATGCTGATTTAATTATCCCATTTGAAACCATATCTAGTGTCAGAAATTGTATTTGTCTATCATTCACCTTTCCTCATGCTAGGCGTGCATGGGTTAGGGTCCAAACCTAGACCTCTTATTATCCCAAACAAACGTGATTATGGTACCATGATAAATAAGTTTGGGTAAAATTCACTCTAAAAAACTAACTCAAATGAGAAGGCTACCAAATTAGTGATGTGAGACAAATACAACTTCTAACATATGGGATAATAGATATCTTAATCATTGTTTGGTTTGAATGAGTAAATACAAAAATTCAAAGGCAAAATACGCAAAATACTGAATAGTAAAGTGAAGTTCCTAAAATTTAGAGACGTTCTTTATGTAATGTCTAGGAGATTAGCTGCTTCTAATGACATCTTAAAACATTGATTTAGTTCTAATTTCAAATCATAAAAATGTTCATCATCATTAATTGCAAAGATTAATTAATTAAATATGTAACTGATTAAGCACCAATACCAAATTTTGAATGACTTGAAAAAGTTGCTATTTGTTTATTGGAATTGAACACAAAAGGGAGAGGTGAATATTGGTGAGTGGTGATGTCTCATTCCACCCTGATTGAGGACAGCATCCATAAAAAGACGATAAATCTATTTTCTTTTTCTTTTTTAAACTAATCACTAATTAATTAATTACCATATGCTAATTGTATTTATAATTGTAAATACTTTTATATGTAGAGTTACAATTTCATATTTTGAGTTGAGGAGGTCAATACTAACACTTTGTAAATTAACATTATATTAGACAACATTATTTCAACAAATTACATTATAAATATATATATTTAATAATGTGGTAATGTATAATTCAATTACTTCAACCAAATATTTTTAAAATATAATATTCTAAATAATTTTATAACTTTATTGTCAATTACTCTTACTAAATGTAGTTGTTGATGATTACCATACTGATTATTTTGAGATTAATATTGTTGTTCTCTGTTAAAAAAAAAACATGTCTATTTAATTAAAATTTATAAAATAGTCTCAACTTGTCTTCATGTTAGCGTATAATATGTGTCAATATTCAACTCATTTTTACTTACTAGAGTAACTTAAAATTTGTAAAAATCATTCTAGACTATGTCTTTGTATTAACCGTATTACATGCGTCAATTAAATATTTGACTCTATCTCCCTCATTCTTTCTTGTTATTTTCTCTTGTTCTATCGTAACTATCATGGAAAAACAATTATACATTTAATATTTGACTTATATATTTTGAGAGTAACACAATTGTTATATATATATATTAAAAATATGTCTGCTTAATAGAATAAATAGACTTAATGTTGTCTTCGTCTTAAACCTGGTCCTCGTTTTAGCGTATAATATATGTCAATATTCAACTCATTTACTCAAAGGAGTGCTTAAATTAGACTGCGTCTTTACTTTAACCGTATCAAATATTTACTCTCTCGTCTCTTTCTTATTATGTTAGGATATTTGATAATCAATTGACGTATATACATTTGAATTCGTAAACTACTTGAGTCTTAATTATTTGTATTTATTTTATTTGTCATTTATTTTATTTAAATGACAAATCTAGCTGTAAAATCTACTGACTTATCAATTATATACTTAATTAAATGGCAAAGATACACTCCTGATATATAACACTAGATGTACTTGACTTGAGAGACTACTAGGCTCCGTTTGACAGGCTTTTTAGAATAGCATTCTTTTTTAGAATGTTATTTAATGAAATAAAATAGGATTCTAAGAATATGTTTTAGAAAATATTTTCTAAAAATATTTAGACTCTTTTTAACCCCTTATATTTGTTAATTTAATAAACACCCCCCACAATAAAAGTTCATAAATTAACAAAAACACCCCAACCAACTATTACTAGCCGTTGGGCACCACCGTCAAACGATGGCTAGAATGGCTAGATCTGGCCAGTCGTGGGTCGATCTGGCTATAAATAGCTAGATCGCGGCCAAAGATCTAGCTTTTGATATCCAGATCTAGTTGTTGACGATGACCATATCTTGGCCATTGTTGATGGCTAAACGAAGACCATCGTTGACAGCCAGATTTCTGGTTGTCATTTGGTTGTCAACGGCGGCCAAGATATGACCATCGTTTAGCTAGAAATTGACAGATTGACGCATGATTCAGTCGGATCCAGAAGATCATGCGTCGTTACGACGCCATCGTCTAGGGGCGACGGTGGCTAGTGGGTGATAGTGGCTTGGGTGTGTGGGGGTGTTTTTGTTAATTTTAAAACTTTTATTGAGAAATGTAATTGTTAAATATTTTAAGTTGAATAGAATATGATTGGATTTTGAGTTGAATAAAAAAACAATTATTTCATTTCCTTTGGATGGAATGGTAGAATAGGATAGGGAAAATGTTGTACCAAACAGACCCCTAGATTTTAACTCTATGGTTGAACAGTCTAATTAAAGTATGTTAGATAGGTTAAATCATGTGATTTGATGGTTTCATATGTCCTTTAAACAAAACCTTGACATTTTGGAAATTAAGATTGGGTTATATATGAGAATATTTATTTATTAAATAATGAATTTGGTCAATTCATTTAGTTATACGTATGAAGGGGAGTCGTTCTTGATTACATCTCAATTTATCCCGACACAAAGGAATCACCAATTTCATAATTTTATTAGCTTTCTAATACTTTTGGGATCTCTCGTTTTCAAATCATCATCTTGTTAGCAACAGAAGTTTTCCTTGTAAATAAGTAATTTGTACAACCTTAAATTAATTAGACCACCCAGCAAAAAGTACAACAAAAAAAGAGAGAGAAAATTAAAAATTACAACCTGATGAGCAATTAATTAAAGAAATACTAATTTAATTGTAATACAAATTAACGTATATATTAAAAGTTCCATGCAAAATCATCAATGGAGATTGAGCTTAGATCACGACACATTGCACCAGACATGAATGTCGATTCCACAAATTCAAGGTCAAAACTAGAGCTGTCAAATGAACAATCTATGTCCTGATGAACACTGTTGTTTGCTTCATAGATATTATCGTTCATCTTCTCCTTCTCTTGAAGTTCTTGTTCTTGTTCTTGAAGTTGCAGTCCTTCGACTCTTGTAACTCTATAGGGTTCAACCATTGTATTGTTACCCCAGATGGAATATAACTCTCATCTAAAGACCAAATCCTGATGGGTTCACTGAAGAAGTTGTGGAAGAAAAATGGGTCGGCTCTCAATGAGGAGACACTAGGGAAAGTAGTAGTATTAGTGATGGAGTCATGAGAATTTTGACCACAATTTACAGTCCAAACATTAGGGTTTTGAATTTGATATTGAGAGGTTGGTGTTGGTGTTTTGAGGCGCCA